TCTTAAGGTATCAAATGGTGGGTGGAAGGAACGTTCCTTTGCTTGGTCGCAATTTCGACCTTTCCCCCGCTGTCTCGCGGTTTTCTGCTGCTCGTATGTACTTGAGACGCGGAGCCAAGAGGCCATTGGCTAAGAAAGCTGCTGAGGTTTGCAGAGACCTTTCCTTCCGTTGTTTTCTCTTTTTTTTTTGCTTTATTTTCCGCTATCATCGAGGCCAGAGTCTCTTCTATTCATTTTGAATGTGAAGTGCTGAAGTGTCTCGTAGATGACTTGGCACATTTATGCGAGTAGGCCTTGCTTCACGCTCGCCGACCCCACCTCAGTGCCAGACATATTCTATCTTGCCCTTTTGTGATTGATCTGGGTCTTTCACCATTTATCAGGACTTATGATTTGCCTATCGTAACCACTTTTTAGCCCCTCATGCTCCCATTGCAACGAACGGGCCCAAAGTTCAAGCTTGGACACCACAAGAAAGTCCCACTCAGAAAGACGCTCACCCCGGGAACCGTCCTTATCGTTCTTGCTGGACGCCATAAGGGAAAGCGCGTTATCTTTTTGAAGCAGCTTGAAAAGTCGGGTCTTCTCCTAGTTACTGGTGAGTTTAACGTATGTTTTTTCATTTTGCTTATTGTCCTTTCTCTTTCGTTTATATACTTCATCACTTTTTACTTCTATTTATTTCCTTTTTGCAGCGGTAGAATAATTTTCTAATACGTTGTAGTTGTAGATGAGCTATAACGAGGAAGGAGGTTTTTCGACTGCTATTCATTATTCTTAATTTACTTTTGCAAGGCTTATTCCCATTTCATTCAAAGTCATTTGCTTTAAAAAAAACTTCAATTGTTTGCCACTATACGGGAAATAGTTTTAAGTTTTGTATCGACAGCTTTCTTGTTTCCCAACATTTTTATTGAGTTTAAATTATGAACTAAACCACTTCACTCAGCAATTTAATAAAATCACTGCACGTGGTGGTTTTTATGTTCAATGGCAAAGTGCAGTATAAATCTGAAATCCTATTATACTGGAACGTTTTGTTTTCGATGCTAGTGAAAATTGGTTTGTACTTAGGGTTTTTTTTCCAAGATATTCGGTCCTTTCTTTTGAC